ACACACACACACACACACACACACACACACACACACACACACACACACACTATACACACAATATATATATACATGCATACTATGTACACATACATACATACTACATATATACATATTGGACACACAATATATACACACATACATATACTATACATATACACATATTATACAAACACTATATATACACACACAACTAGATATACATATTATACACATATATATTATACACATACTATATACACATATACACACTACATACACTATACATACTGTGTGTATACTCACACATGTATACACACATACATGCATGCACACATATATATACTCCATCGCTATCTGTGTGGAGGAAAGATTAAATGTTCAAGGGTTTTAAACCAATTTTCCCAAAGACACATCCATCCCTTGGATGAGCGACTGTATGTCTGGGTGCCCTGTGTAGAATAACTACACTCCCAGCTAGGCTAAAAGTCCTGCAACTCATAGGATATGACATGAAGACTGTCTAGAACTCCTCTTGGAAGAACCAGGCCCAGATTCATGAGAAGCCCCACTAAGAACATCTCCCCTACAGAACAAAGCAATCACCCTGACTGGGTTCCTCAGACAAGACCCATGAAGTTGCCTACGGGTCCTGTCATGGGTTGTCCTGCTTTGTGGGATGCCTCGGCCTGCAAACCTTTCATGGAGCTGGCCTCGGAGGACACTACCTCCAGGTTTCAGTAAAGAAAAATAAGTCTTCAGGTTTGTCTTGGTTGCCTTCCTCAGACTAGATTTACAGGACTATCTTTACAGGCGTCCATAGGACGGTCCTCCCTGAGACACTAACACGTCGGGTTCACCTGTGTGTGTTTCTACAGAAGGAGAAGAAGAGCGGGCTGCTGAAGCTGCTAGCTGGGGCATCTACCAAGAAGAAGTCGCGCTCCCCACCATCTATATCTCCAACCCATGACCCCCAGTCGGCCATGGATACCTCACTGCAGGGTGCCATGGGCCCTGAAGTGTCCCCATTGACCGTCCATGGCAGGGCAGGCTCCTGCCCCATAGAGAGCGAGATGCAGGGAGCCGTTGGGCTGGAGCCACTGCACAGAAAAGCTGGCTCCTTGGATCTGAATTTCTCTTTGTCCCCTTCTCGGCAAGCAAATCTGTCAATGGCTTCCATCCGCCCTGAACCGAAGCCACTGCCCAGAGAGAGGTAAGGAGGTGAGGGCTTTTATCTTTAGGACTAACACCTGAGTTCTGGAACCTTCTTGGGGATGGGCAAAGTAGAGTTTCCCAGGAGTCAAGCTTATATGGTCCTCTTTACCCAGGCCCTGGGGTACGTTTCTTATTTGCAGCCTGCCTTGTGTCTTAGGGGTTTTATTACTGTGAAGACGCACCATGACCATGGCAACTGTTTATTATTATTATTGTTTAATTTAGAAACAATCTTATTTTACTTATCAATCCCAGTTCCCTCTCCCTCTCATCCTCCCATGCCCCCCACTGACCTCCATTCCATCACCACCATCCACTCCCCAGGGAGGGTGAGGCCTTCCATGGGGGATCATCAAAGTCTGTCACATCATTTGGGGGAGGGCCTAGGCTGAGAAAGTATCTCTCCATGGCAACTCTTATAATGAAAGCATTTAATTAAGGGGGCTGGCCTACAATTTCAGAGGTTCAGTCCATCCATTATCATCATGGTGGGGATCATGGCACCATGCAGGAAGACATGGCTAAGAGACCTGTATCTCAAAGGAAGTCAACTGAGACACTGGGCAGTATCCTGAGCATAGGAAACTTCAAAACCCACCCCACAGTGACACTGTTCCTCCAACAAGGCCATACTCACCCATCAAAGTCACACCTCCTCATAGTGCCACTTACTGTGAGATTATTACAAACTACCACAACCTTCCTTCCTGGATTTGGGCTTGTAAATGATCCCTGTGGACATGTCCACACCACTGTGGCTCAGGGCACTGGGTTCTCAACCTTTGAAGACCCTCAAATGAGCCCTTCCAGAGTCCCCTGTGGCCTGTGTCTCATCCACTCACCCAGAAAAGCATTTCTTCTTTGAACCTTGGGACACTGTGATATTTATTTTAGTGTTGTGAAATATTGCTCTAAGTTGTCTTTCATGTCAAACCATTCACAATTGCCAATACTCATCCATTTTTATCCAAACTAACAAGTTAATGTCATTTAACCTCCAGTTTCACAGATTTGGACACTGAGCACAGTGATAAGGCCTGCTGAGCTCACAGGCTGAGGGGCAATAGATTGAACAAGTTTTCTAAGTAGTAGGGTGTCTGCCTTTGCGAATGGATCTGTATGTTTGAGTTTACAACAAAAGACTAGAAGGCCTTGGGGGGGGGGTATGACAGGCACCACCTTTCCCAGTCTCTACCAGTTAGAGCACTGCTTAAATAATAAAAACATAAACCCATCATCCTGAGAGCAACAGGGGCATCTCTGTTGGTCAATCACTTGTTACCTGAGCCAGAGAACACAGCAACTGTTCTGCGCATGCTAACCTCAGAGACCACACCTCCAGGTGCCAGGCAGTGGGTAGACAAGGGGTCATAGAGGCTTCCTGTCAGAGGCCAGATAGTAAGTATCACTGATGCTGTGGACTCTAGGATGCCCATGGCACTCTGCTGTGCCATTAGAAGGCTGCCACAGAGTAGATGCATGTTGTGGCTTGGTGTTCCAGAAAGCTCCCTACAGTGACCAAAATTCAGATTTCTTGCAGCATTCTAGTGTAAAAAAATCTGTCATCATTTTTTTAACCATATCAAAAATTCAGTAACATCCATAGCTCTGCTACCACACAGCCACAAACTACAGTTCTAGATGCTTTTGAGTTTCATCTATGGTGCTGTGATATCCATGGCCATGGGGAGACCAATCTCTGCAGGGCCCTGGGGGGACACCATGAAGCCATCACTGACTTCTCATGACCAATTAAGATGTATGTCTGTATTGACATCCGCAGTTACAGTTAAGGTGGCAAGCATCCACTGAAGGTTCTGTGAAAGGCTGGTATTCAAAACATTAACAGTTGACATGAGTTCCTGCCACTGACACTAGGATGGCCAGGCTCTGCATTTCCTGAGTGTGTTATGTGCATTATCCATTGAGTCCCCTTATGAATCTTATTAGTTCAGCATTTCCCAAAGTAGTAGCTGGCATTCTGAAAAGCCTAAGAAACTTGCTCATGGGTCCATGGCTGGCAAGTAGCTGAATGAGAGAGAGGGCTTTTTGACCAGAGAGTCTAAGCTCATCGGGTATTTGCTTCCACCAAGGTTCTCTAGAGGAACAGAATAGGGGATGAATGTATGTATTCACATATTTATACATATAAATATATGTGAATCAGAGTGTATTTAGTGAGCTGGATGCTAAGAGCCTAGCATGGATAGCATGGTTAGCTGGTCTTTGAGGTTGGCTGCCTCAACAGTCAGAGCACTCTGTCCACAAGCAAGTGCCTCACTAGTCCCAATCTGGTGCTAGGAGCCCAGAAAGTTCCTGGAGAACCCCTGGTTCCTAGTCAATGATGTAAGTTTGGGAATTCTGGTTCTGCAGTCGGCAAGGAAATCTGCAGTAACAGGCTGATCCAAGCAAGCAAAGGAGGCGGCGTTCTTCCTTCCCAAAGACCCTTTTCATCTGGGATGCTGCCAGAAAGCGCTGCCCACAGTTGGTGCCATCCCACATCAACCAAGGCTATCAGGACAGTTCTTCAGGAGAGGCTGCCTGCTCAAGTGATTCTAATTTGTGGCAGGTTGACAGTAAGACCAACTGCAATAGTATTCACAGTCCTGTAAAGGGCTCAGGCTCCATGTCTCCATCTGGACAAAAGTGAAGAGAAAATGACCACAGGCTACCCTATGGAAAGCTGAAATTGAGGAACTGACAGATGTGAGAGCTAGCTCCCGAGGCTAGCACCAACTCCAGCTCAGACAGCGATTTGGGGCCCATAAGTCTGCACCAGGCCCAGACAACGGTAGTACTGACACAAAAGCAACTCTCACCTCTAAGGGAACAAGAGATGGTTTACTATGGAGCCCAAGTTGAATGGCCAGGGACCAGGAAGACAAATTTAGGTCTCCCAAAATACCATGTTCCAATGTGGAAACAGCTTTGTGAAGTTTTTATAATAGAAAAGAGAAATTGATAGATCAAGGCATTTTTAAAAATACACTGGCGGAAACATCAGAGAGGCAGTTTGCAGCCAGGCCTCAGATGCTCCCTGATTTTGGCCCTTTGCTTGATGAGGAATTAAGTCAGTGCATTCTACAGGTTTTTATCTGTTTATCGGGACAGGTGTGACACAGAGGTGGGCGAGGAAAGGCCCTTTAGGGGGGACTAAAGATAGCCTGAGAGAAATTGCAATTAGGCTCTGGGCCTACACCATTCCAAAGACACAGTCACTGCAGTTTCAATCAGTCTGCCTTTGTGCACAGGGCTGTTCTCCCCTGCACCCCCAGGTATTCTTTCTCATTTACAGTAGAATAGAGGTGCCAACACTGCTGCCCCCACCTACTGTGGCAATGCTGAGCATGGCCCTGGCCCACCAGCTAGGTTGTGGGAGTGAAGGTAAAATATTCCTTGAGCTGCACCCCCAGCCTATCGCCCACAGCTACACACATGGCTCCTCAAGAAGACCACCCCTCATCCTATCAGCTGGCTACCACTGTCACCTGCCCTGGGGCTGAAGGTACAGGTGTCAGACACTTGCCATACACAGCTACCCAGATAGCAGAGGGGCCAGCAGCAGAGGGCAGCAGGGGTGTCCTGTCAGGGACTGAGAGGTAGACACCAGACAAGCGCCAGTATCTGAGAGGGCAGCTGGTCCTCAGAAGAATACAGCCACTCCAGCCTCCTGCAGGCTATAACCGCTAACACAGCACACTTTACAGTAGGGAAGCCTGGCATGAATAGAAGCCCAGTTCACACCCAAGTGTCCTGGCATTATTGCCAAGGCATCAGAGAACGGTGAGTACGGATCAAGAGAGCACGAAGTGAGAACATTCACAGAAAGCAGAAAGGAGTGTTGGTCCCTGAGAGGGCATCTAGGCTGGGGCCTAGATTCCTTCGAAGGTCAGAAGGGTGCGATCCTGCTGCTGCTGGAGTAGAGAAGTTCTTAGGAGGTTTAGGGAAAAGAATGTTAAGCAAGGCTAGAGCCAGCTGGGAACTCAGCCCTGTGAGGCTAAAAATCTGTATAGCACACAGTAGGACTTATAAAGAAGAGGGCTCAGAAAAGCTTGCTGGGGTTTTGTGGAGGAGTGCTGTTAGGGCCAGAGCCAAGTGTCTGTCAGGCAAGTGCTATGTAGACCTCAAGACTCTGTGTTCTTGGAAAGGTGATGGCCAGGGGTCCAACTCTGGTCTCAGCGCTTCACCCAGACACCCAGATAGAGCTGGGACCAGCAGCATGCTCTTGGGGCAGCTGGCCAGCAGAAGCAGAGGAGACACTTTCTCTGGTTTCTTTTGGTCATGGGGATGTGAAAACAGCACCTTGAAGCCTTGGGTGTTACAGGTTGCCCAGGTCTTGTAGAAAAGGAGTGAGGAGAAACTGGGCCTTTGCAGCACCAATGATGTGATTTCAGCCAGTTCAGCCTGAGACTGTATACCTAACGATTTTAAAATAACCATTCCACCAGAGCAACTTCAAAGGCCCCTCTGGACCTATGGGGCCCAGCCACCTCCCCCTGAAAGGTAGTAGTACAGGAGAGGAGCCTTCAGTTTTAGACGCAGAACCTGGCACATGGACAGGTTATGGCACAAAGGTCACAAAGCCAGAAAGGAACAAGCCAAGTGCCAAGTCTATGTCCCAGGCTTGGAACAGTTCCCATTTCCCAGAGGTCGTGGCTAATTGAGTACAGCCACGAATTCACTAGAGCAGACCTCCAGATAAGAGACCAGCATAGGTGGGAGGGGGGAGAAATGGAGGGTCTATGTAGAGGTCTGGAATTAAAAAATAAGACAGCCATGCCTTAGATCTGTGTCTAAAAGACACCTAGGGAATGTCCTTTTTTTTAATGGCCATATTAATTCTACATAATAGGCTTCCTTATCATTTTGCATACACTTGAGTGATATATTTTGATAGTTACCCCTATTGTACTGTTTTGTCTCCTCCCTCTCGGCTCACATGCTGTTCCTTCTGTCCTCCCAGGTATCGGGTGGTGGTCTCCTACCCACCACAGAGTGAAGCAGAGATTGAACTAAAGGAAGGTGATATTGTCTTCGTGCACAAGAAACATGAAGATGGCTGGTTCAAGGGGACTCTGCAGCGGAATGGCCGCACGGGCCTCTTCCCAGGCAGCTTTGTGGAGAGCTTCTGAAGGCCGTTGCTCATGTCCCGCTCTGCCATCCGGGAGAGGGTACCCCAGAAAACACTCTGTGAGCAGAGGAAGCCTTACCACTTAGGTCCCAGGGCCTTTCTCAAGCACCTACCAGGAACAACTGGACTGGGGTGGTAACTCAGTCGTGAAGGCCATGCTGATTGAAAGCACACGTGGATGTCGTCTTGGTTGTGAAGCCCATACCCTCATGTAAAGTCCTTATTGAAAGCACACACGAGTGTCCTTCAAGACCATGCCATGAATCTCAGTGAGCAGTGCAACAGAAAAAAGCTGCCCATGTGGACAAATGCACTACTATGCCACCCATCAGCTAAAGCAGTATTATCTGTCTGTGCAGGTTTGGGAGCCCAGGGGGGTACAGAGTAGGGCTGTGTACTAGGGCTGACAGCAATGAAGAGTAACTTCCCTGGCTGCCCTGGGTATCATTCCTCTATATACCTCTGTCACCTGCCATCAAGCCCCACATCCAGGGCATTCATGGTTCAAGAGCCTCATATAAGGGCTGTGAGTCTCCCAAGGTGTCCAGTGGTGGGGGCAGGTCCTGTCGGGTACTGGAGAATCCTTATGGCTTTGTCTCCTACCAGGATAATAAGGAACACCTTTTGGTTTCACCACCATCTCTGCATTGCTTCCTTCTTATGGCACCTTTTTAATGTACAACTCTTAAACTTTCTATATTTCTAATAGGTCAGACGCTGCATATTTTTCATACATCTGGTGCTGATTTTTGTAAAACTAGAAATCACTTGGGTAAGCTTCAAGGGGAAAAAATGAGGTAACATCAAAGGAAAGTTTTATATATTTCCCATATGAAGTTTGGAGCATATTTAGGAATTCCTATCTGTGATAACAAAACGTTGGCTGGTGCTCTATGAGGTGAGTGAGAGAGTCTGCCAAGATGGTCACGTGTCTTTCCTGGCTGTTGGAAATAGCCTGAACTGCATACTCCATCTAGATAGAAGTGATTATGATTTAAAAAAAAAAGAAAGAAATATTTTGAGGAATTTATTCTGCCTTTTTGTGTGGCAGGAACACACACACACACACACACACACACACACACACACACACACACACACACACTCTGACCCTTAAGCTTCCTTTGATCGATTTAGAGAGAATGACTAAAAATAGCATTCTTAAAGCACATTTTCCTGCCAAAATACAGCTTTTACAACAGCTTAGACCACTACCTTGCAAAGGTTTTATTTTCCCCCCTCCATTTCAAACTAAAGTAACTTTCTGTATCAGGCCAGGCAAAATTCCATCTGCTAGAGGCCAAAGGTACAATGCTAACACGGGCCTGGTACATGACTACAGACTAATAGGACCCAGAAACACTGGAAATGAAATGGGATGGTTTCTTTGGCCCTGAGGCCTTTGTTCACTAGAGCAACAACTTGCTTCCCAAGAGGTTGGCCTGAATGACTATCAAGAGGTGTCAGTGTCACACTTTAGGAACACATTTTTTTTTTTCATCTCAAAAGTATCAATTTGTGAGCCTTTGTCTACATTTTACCAAACCACCCAGACCTGTGTCAAGCCTTTGATAGCAGAGGCTATTACTAGTTTTCATAATAAAATAAGACCACTTATTCTCAAAGTTCCTATTTGGGGATATGATTTAACTAGTTGTGACTGCCAGGTGGCTGGCACATGGAAGCAATGATGCCTAGAGAAAGTCTTCCTCTATGGTAATAAACTTATTGGATAAGAATATTAGAGAAAGTCTTCCTCTATGGTAATAGACTTATTGGGTAAGAATATTAGACATGAGAAAACTGTTCTGAGCCAAAGAGAAACTCTAGCTTAGACCTAGGGATCCCTGTGTGCAGGGTTAGTGACAACCAGAAGGTATCTAGTCACTGCCACTGCTAGATGACTTGCCCATCCATGCACAAAAAGCTATGTATGGTTAAATCCATGCTGTCCCTGAGGAGGTACACCGAGCTACATCCTGAGAGAGACATGTTTTCTGTGGAGCCAGAACTAACTCCAGTTTCCAGACAATAAAAGTCCCGTTTTTCCTCCTCAACAAGATGGACTTGGAGGCAACAGAACAGACATCTTTGACCTGTCCTCCTTTCTTATGCTGGCTACCTTCATGGTGGCAAGGAGGTAGCAGCCTGATAGAAGCTGAGCAAAGTATCAAGGCGTCTTTGGAAAACATCAGCTGGACCCTCTCCTAACAAAGTCATGGGTTTACACAACAACTACCTTGGGGAGAAAAACAGGGCCCTAGGGCTCATTTCCAGGTGAGGCTTTTCAAATACACAGTGAGCCCCATTGGGTATTTTGAATACTTTAGCTTTTCAAACCTTTAGCTTTCAAAATCATGTATTCCACAGTCAAGAACAGAAAAGAAGTACCTTTCCCGAGGTCATCTGCCCTTGAGGACACATGTCTTCGATACCAAAATGATGCCAGCACCCAATCTAGAATCTTCACATTCCATCCTGGCCAAATACAGTAGTATTTGGTGGCCAGGTGATTTTTCCTTGAATAGTTCTCAGCTCTTCAGATTGAGGGTTACCAAGAAGACAGGAAAGTCTGAGAAACAAGATAGTCTGCAGTGGGGCATGAATACAAGGCTGAGCACTAAAGTGGACTTGGAAACCCTTGTACTTTACACAACACACATACACACAAACGTGCAAGCACGTGTCCCCAACCCCACATAGGTTTCTATTATATACCAATGTCAGTATGTAATTTTGGATGAATTGACAGTAGTGGCAAACTATGATGCCTGTGTTTCTGAGTCTTTAAATAAAAAATGACCATGGAGAGGCTGTGTGTCTCAATAGTGGGAACAATGCAATGGTGTGCACACAAGGGGGGGGGTGAGATTCAATCCCTGGATGGGACAGAATTGAGACAGTTGTCTTGTGTTCTATTACTTTGAGGAGACAACCATGACGAAGGCAGCTTATAAAAGAAAGCATTTAATTGGGGGCCTTGCTTACAATTTCAGATGATTAATCTATGCTCATCATGGTAGGAAGCATGGCAGGCACATGGTCGTGGTAATGGAGCAGAAGCTGAGAGCTCACATCTGCTCTGCCAGTAGCAGGCAGAGAAAGATGGGGACTGAACTTAGTGTGGCTTTCGAAACCTCAAAACCCACCTACAATGTTACATACACCTCCTTCACCAATTGGGAACTCAACATTCAAATATACAAGCCAATGGGTGACATTCTCATTCAAACCACCACGAAAGCATTGCCTGCATGCCCAAGCCAGCCCCAAGACTCATACTTGACACCTTCTGCTCCTTCAGGGGGATATAGGCTCTGTGTATATCAGGATGGGGGTGGTGGGCTGAGGAAGAAGTGGCCAGCTGTAAAACTGAACATGATCTGTACCAATCACACATCAGATGTCAACTAGTTGTCAAGAAGCAGCTATTGATGCCATTGTGACATGGATTCAGTGGTGTCCACTTCCCTTCCAGGAGTACACTTAGACTTACTAAAGTCCTTGCCATCCAGAATTGCCTAGTACACACTGGGGCAAACTTCAGCTCTGCTCTTCTCTGGCCCTCAGATGCTCAAGCCATAAATAGCACAGGGTGAGAATAGACAGCCCCACAGCAGGAAGACAGACTAGCAGTGTTGTCCCAGACAGCATGTATTCCTGAAACAAAGCTTTCATTGGCTTCTCAGCCGAGATGTGGCCCCACGTTACTTTCTGTCATTGTGAAACACATCAGGACCAAAATAAACTTTAGAAAAGGGTTTATTTAATCTTACAGTGCCAGGTCACAATCCTCCATTGAGGAAAATCAGAGCAAGAACTCAAGGCAGAAATTGAAGCAGAGACCATGAAGAAATACTGCCTCCTGGCTTGCTTAAATAGCTTTCTATTTTTTTATCCTTTTTTTTTGAGATTATAGTATAGTATAATTACATCATTTCCTCCCTAGCCTTTCCTTCCTCCAAGCCCTCCCATAGACCCCATCCTTGCTCTCTTCCAAATTCATTGCCTTTTTTCATTATTGTTACTTGTATATATGTATATGTAAATATGTGTTATATATAAATATAACCTGCCCAGTCTGTATAATGTTACTTGGATGTATGTTTTCAGGGATGACCATTTAGCATTGGATAATCAGTTGTGTGCTCTTCTGTGGAGAAGACCATTTCTCCCTCTCTCAGCATCAGACACAGGGCCCAGAGGCCCCTGAGCTCCTCCTCGAGGACTATCTTTCATAGTGCCAGAAGTTAACATGGGAGCTTCAAATGGGGAAGCAACCAATGGTCCTACACAGCTATGACGCCTATAAGTCACAATAATGACCAGCATGGCACAATAATCCTAAAGGTGCAGTAGTGGCATCCATACCTTGCTGATAATCGAGGACTCTCTAATTGGATCTAAGACCCACTCAACAAGAGGGAAGTCATGCCTGGTACTGAAAACCCAGTCAACTACCAAGGACTAGTGAAGTCTTGGGATCTTGGAGGTAAACCTACAACGGCCACTTTAGTAAACCAGCATAATCCCTAACTACATTCTAAATATTTATTCTTACTCCAGCAGATAAGTGTTGTCCTCACCTCTCAACAAGGAGACTTCTCTGTCCAACAGACACAGCATTTCAGCTAGGTTTCTAATGCAGCCCAGGCCTACCTGCCTAGGGATGGGCCCCATCCACAGGTGGCTAGGCCCTCTTTGATAAATTACCAACTAAGAAGATGCCTCACAGATATACACAGAAGCCAGTCCGATGGAGGCCATTTCCTAACTGGGATTCCTTCAGACCACTCTGGGTTATGTTGACAGCTGAACTAGAAGAGATGCACACATGCATGTGAGGCATGGGAAAGAGCCATTTTATCTTTCCATTAAATTAATGTGTATAGGAGTAAATAATCCAGCATGGGTAGTATCTGGACAGGTCACTGCAGGGAGGGAACATGCTATGTCTGCATGAAAGATTCCCTCACCTCCATGCGCTGGACAAGCAACTAACATAAGGGATTAAGTAACTGTCACACATTACTGTGACTCCAACTACAGTCCAATTTTCCAACATCAGGTGGAATCTTGCATTTCCAAATTCTGGATGCTGATCCACAGCCTCTAAATAAGTGTAGCCATACATTATGTAATCATGTATCAGCCAAGGAAAGGAAACTTAGATGACAGTGGTCACACAGAGCATAATGGAGTTGAGGAATTCTTGTCACCTAGTGACAACAAAGCCTTTCTATTGCCTTAATACAATGTATTCCTCATGCATACATGGTAACATTGATATCAATATACTTACTACACTGCCAGTCTACTATATACTAGTATTGCAGAATATCACACTAGCGAATACATGACTGTTACCAGCATGTCTAGTTACTACATTTCTTATTGGAAAGTGGATCCCTACTTACAAGTTTACCAAGACATTATGGAGTATATACTCATAGTAGTTCATACATATGTTCGCCTTTTATGAGTGCATCAAGAGGCCAGATTGAGTAATTGACTTGTATTGTCTAAGTCTGTAGTGCTAACACAATGAAAACAGTCACTGAACAACACAGCCCATCATCTGAGACTGCATCTCATCATTAAAGAGAGGAGGTCATAATAAACCAAGTACTAGTGTTGGAAGTCGAGGCCCAGAAGAAACAGACTGTGTATGCCACAGTATCTGAAAAAGAAAAAAAAAACACACCTGGCAAATTACCAAAGCTGTTTGTAAAACAAGTGAAAGATAACCCTACAAGTTTATACTCAAAGCACATGTACAAACCCTCTGGTTCTGTGTTTACACTCACTGAACCAACTAGCATAATAATTTAACATAGGGTAAACAGGGCTGGTTGGGGCCCTTGAACCATTCAGTACTAGAGACATTTTTCACCAGAGATGCTTCCTCCAGCTGCCGATGGAAGCTGATGCAGAGACCCACAGCCAAACATTAGGCAAGCTCAGGGAAGCCCTCAGAAGATGGGGAGGAAGGATTCTAGAAGCTAGAGGGATCAAGGACACCAGAACACAGCCCACAGAATCAACTAAGCCGGGTCACAGGGGCTCAGAGACTGACTTGGCCATCATGGAACCTGCATGAGCCTGTACTAGGTCCTCTGCATACAAGCTATAGTTGTTTAGCTTGGGGTTTGTAGGACTTCTAATAGTAGGAGTAGGGGTATCTCTGTCTCTTTCATCTGCTCATCGGACCCTTTTTCCTCCCATTGGGTTGCCTCACCCACCTTTGGATGAGGATTTGTGCCTAGTCATATTATATCTTGTTATGCCATGTTGGGTTGAGATCACTGGGAGGCCTGCTCTTTTCTGAGTGGGGACAGAGTAGCAGTGGACGCTGTGGGGAGGAAGGGGAGATTGTGGTTGGGATGTATTATATGAGAGAAAAAGAGAAACTTTTCATTATCCACCAGTGAATGAAGCGGTTCATTGAAGCGCTAAGTCCCTATAAATTTTGTTGAGGGGAAGCCAGCATTCCTGCCTCTGACAGACACTGATATGATGTGCCTGCTCTTCAACTTCAAAACATAAGACCACAAGAGGCACTACAGAGTGAAGCAATGAATCAAGACAGCCACTGTCCTTGGCAAAGCCACAAAGACATGGTACAAGGTGGTTAATGTCATGAATACCTAAAGTGTCACTGAGATGGTTTCTGAGGAAGGGAGCCAAACTGGCCAGAAGCATCCATATTATGCATACCAAAAGCCTGGGCATGCAGACCCTATGAGCTTTTCCAACGAGTGGAGGAGGGGAAACTTACCAGATGGTCCCTGTCATGATGGTGGTTGAACCAGGGGCTTTCCAATTTTACTATCATGAAAAAACAATACAGTCAGTAGAAATCATACTTTAAGTTTTTAATCCAGGTCTTTTCTGGGGGGAGTAAAACACAGTCTCATCCTCTCTTTTGGTGTTATGCAGTCGCAGAAAGCTGTAGCTCCATCAACCCTGTAATACAAGGGAGACAACCAATGCTCTGCAGTGTGCTGTGTTGCTCACATTTAAAGTATATTTGAATTATCAGATTCTCAGCTTATGCTTTGACTGGGATATGTTCCTATCATGAAACAAGGAACCTCTACCCAACATTTATGTATCTTATCCTATTTAATCCATGTGTCCATGTCTCTGTGTGTGCACAGAGTGTGCACATGAGTGTGCACACACACATGACACATGTGGTCAGAAGACAACCTCAGGTGTTAGTCCTTGCTTTCCACCTTGAGATAGGAGCTCTTGTTATTCTCCGTAGTATTTCCAGGCTAGCAGACCTAATAGCTTCTGAAGATTCTCAGCAGGGAAGCCCTGGGGTTGCAGGTGTGCATTGTGTGTTCCAGTTCCATGTGGTTCTGGGGATCCAAAGTCCTTACATTTTTCACAAGAGCCATTGCATCAGCCCTGAAGCATGGTTTTTATCACCCCCATTTTACAGGGGAAACGTTATAAAGAAGAGAAATGGAAACACTCTTAACCATGAGAGTACAAGAAAGAATAAGTTTCATGAGAGAATAAATGAAAAGAGAACCAGCAGAGAAACAACCACATCCAGTTCAGTAAACAAGCTAGCATCAAATACACATAAGGCAAAGGGGAAGAAAACAAAAATAATCAACCAGAAAAACAATCAACGATATCAAAAGAAATGAGCAGATCCTTCTCAGTAATAACACTAAACGTAAATCTTAATTCTAACTAAAAGATGCAGACTAGTGGATAAAACACTTGCTGCGTAAGTCTGGTAACCTGAATCTGACCCCTGGAGCCCAAGTAAAGATGGAAGGAGAGAACTCC